GTCAGATGGCACACATTTGACAAATTTTAGTGGGGATAAGAAAGCCTGGCCAATCTATTTTACCATCAGGAACATCAAGTCATCGGTCCGGAGCAAGCCCACCGGGCATTCGTTAATTCTCCTAGGGCTACTGCCAGTCCCACCTAAGCTCGGGAAGAACTCACTCGCTAATTCCGCTTTACGACGTCAGAGTCAAATGGCGCTGCATCGCGCCCTTGGGGAGATCTTTCAGAGCATTCGGGAGTGCTCTCAGGAAGGCGAGCTAATCGCATGCGCCGACGGGTACGAACGTCTATGCTTTCCGGTGTTGTCGGGTTGGATCGCTGATCAACCTGAGTATTCAAACTTACAAAATATTAGTACTAGCTCTTGTCCAAGATGCGAGGTGGAATTCCACAGTCTTGGGAGCACTCGCCGGAGCCCTACGCGCGATCACGAGGATTACCGGGAGAGGGTAAAGCTATTCAGGGAGAACCCGGGAAACCTGGGACCGGTGGAATACCTTGTCGCGAGATCAGTAAAGACACTCTTCAATGCTTTCTGGGGTATGCCGAGGGTTAATCCATACGATCTCAACAAACCGGACATTCTGCACAATATCTACCTAGGGATGTTGAAGCACATGATGGAGTGGGTTCAGGCTTTCTTGAAGAAGCACAATCGATTGGAGGAATTTGACAAGGCTTGGGCCTCGATTGCGCCTTACCCTGGACTGGCAGTACCGAACAAGGCATATCGTGCCACAACCCAATGGCAAGGGAAGGAGATGAGAAATCTGGGGCGGGTCGTTCTTGGAGCACTCGCGGCTGCTTTGAGAAACCCGGGGGTGGCTGTCAGGGGCGACTTCGCAAAGGCATTGAAATGTGTACGAGGCTTAATCGACTTCCACTTAATGGCGCAGTATGGGAGTCATACGACGAGCACACTGAATTATTTGGAGAGCTATCTCGAGGATTTCCATAAGCACAAGGATATCTTTTTAGAATTCCGGGCGTACAAGAGGACGGTTAAGGATGCGAGAGATCGGACAAAAGCTGTGAAGACCTCAGGCTCCCAGAGCGCTCAGCGAGGTTTGGAGGAGATTCGCGAGATACGGGAAAGGTCTCACTTCAACTTCATCTAATTGCACGTGTTAACGCACTATCGGGAACATGTCGAGCGCTTTGGGAGCATTCCCCAGTACTCCACCGACATCAGCGAACTCGCCCATGTACGTCAAATAAAAGAGGCATACGGAAGCATCGAACAAGGTCGATGCTGCAACGCAGATACTGGACTATGGGGGGCGGCGGTTGGCGTTAGAGATTCGAATGCTGAATCTGAAAGACATTGTTGGAGGTCCTGAGAGCACTGACGACATCCTTTGGAGCCATCGAGATAACCTGAAGGAGTTACTTGAGATTTTTAAAATCGAAGACCGGAAAAAAACACCAAATGAACGATCCATAGTAGAAGGCCGACTGCCTCTAAGGCGTCTTTGCAACCCCTCCACGAAATCGGAAAGACTTTTCAATATTGCGGATGGACTGCAAATAAGCCATACCACGTTATATCGCCTGATAAAAGAGTATGCAGAGGATGCGGGATGCTCTCAAAGCTTTGCCGGAAGCTCTGAGAGCATTTTAGAGCGCCGGGTGGAGATGTTCACATGTTTGCAGGTTCCGATACCAATCTTCCAAAGACCTGAGGTGTACGAGGTTCACAATATCAGGTCTACGGGAAACGCAGCTTTTAGGAAAGGGAAAATAAGAAAGGATTGGGTATGGGTGTCGGTAGCGTCCTCAGAGGAGTGGGGAGTATTTCGGGGACGCTTACCAGGACGTGTCGAGGCTTTGTTCAAGCTGCGGGACAGTGGGGGGCGAGCACATAGACTATGTATAGTGGAGCTACTCGAGGCAAAGGATCGTGGTATCGCTGATAGCTCACATGGGCTCCTGAAGGTTTGTAGGAGGAGGAGGAAGAGGATGTGGGTCGTTAATATTCGGAGTATATTGGGAATGGCCTATTTGTTTGAGGTGGAGACTGGTAATTGGTTGGTAAATACTAGGATAGACTTGCGTACGTGGAATGAATTTAGTTGAATACTTGTAAAGCCGTGAGGGCATTCTTGAGTGCTCTAGGAACGTTAGACCCAATTGGACTCTCTAATTCAAAATTCGTATCGTTCTGCTATGCATGCGGATTGGAAGAAGGAGGTAAAGTTTCGGCCGCTCAGTATCTGAGTCTGTCTATCCAGCAAGCTCGCTCCAGGAGGTCAATGCCAGTCCATGTTTGCTGCTTATGCATGGACATTGAGCTTTTCAGACGAGCCGTACCATGGCCTCAACCTCAAGGCTAATTATGCCTTTCACGAATCGACAGAAACATACACGTCCGTCAAAGGTTGGGTAGTCGTCACCAGTATACAGGACAGTGCTCGTATCAGTATCCTGCGACTGACCGTACAGCGGCATTGAGGATACCCACGTTAGATATCTTTTGAGGGACTGGTGCGGCCTTCCTATCCTTTGAGGACGGTGTATCAATCCAAAGAAGCCCAAATGAGGGTTGCCTCACCTTGAGTGGGTATGACGAATGCCTCAGCTCTGTGAGCATTGGTGAGTGCTCTGGGAGCACTCGCGGAAGCCCTCGCGGGAGCGTTCGTGGGAGCGTTCACGGGAGCGTTCGCGGGAGCTTTCGCGGGAGCATTCGCGGGAGCATTCGCGGGAGCATTCGCGGGAGCATTCGCGGGAGCATTCGCGGGAGCATTCGCGGGAGCATTCGCGGGAGCATTCGTGGTGCCGTGAGAGCATTCGCGGTGCCGTGAGAGCATTCGCCGTGCCGTGAGAGCATTCGTCGTGCCGTGAGAGCATTCAAGAAAACTGTGAGAGCATTGGGAAGTGCTCGCGTGTACTACTGACGTAATCAAAAGAAGCAAAAGTTCCTAGGTGCTGTGGGCGGAGTCACTCCATCCTAGCGTCTCCGGAGGGAGATGGAATCTGATGGCGGCCCAGGCGACCAGAGCATTGACGAGTGCCCTCCGGACGTGAGCCATATCTCCTGGCGGTCCCAGAGAGTGGGACGGTCCTACGGCGGAGCCTGGCGCGAAGGTTGTACTCTGGCGGTGCCGGACGCGCTGGGCGCTCGTGGCGCAGAATGCCCACCAGGACGTAGGGGCTGCGCCCTGGGTAATAGGCGAGCTTGCTGATGTAGTGAGTATTGCGTAGGGTACAAACTTGGTACTAGAGATCGGTATGGGAGCCTACGATAGCAGTCCTGAGGGACTCTAGCGTTGGTAAGGGTTAACAGAACAAGGGAAGCAGCAGCAGGGTGATATTCTTGAGTAAAAAAGATGAAGTGATATTATATAGTAATAGACAACTTGGGTACAGAAGACGTTAGGTATCAAAAAAAAGAATAGAAAGAGAACAGAGGCGAGGGTGAAACCTCCTAATATACCGAAAGACATCCCAGTTATAATAAATCCAGAGTAACTCATACATTCGGAACTAACAGAACCCGATAGAACTCAATAGAATCTTTCCGAATAGTCCAACTACTCATAACCCAGTGTATTAACTAATCGATGAATGTAACAGTATCAGTACAGATGTCAAAATGCAAAGTTAGTTGCATACATATATAGGTATCAAAGTATGTAGGAGGGAAGTTTGAAAGTAGGTTTCGAGATACAAGGTGAGATAAAAGGGAGGTAGGCATTGAGGTATGAGGTTAGGTAGCAGGTGAGATAGCGATGAAGGTGGGGATTCTCGAGACCTAATTGGTACATTCTAATGTAATTTCCACAACCTTATCTAATAGAGACTACCTAGGGTACATATCAAATTTTTGAAGATATAGATTATCAAAAAATAACTGATTGTCTCTGATATCAGGAAACATTGTCATGCGAAGTAACACGCATTACAGATTGGCAGTATCAGTGATATTAGTACTTTGTTAATCGATTACTTCTCACCACCACAATTTTTGCTGAAATTATATCAAAATCAAAACTAATTACCTTATCTTTCACGAATCGACAAAAACGTAGCTGTAAATTAATGATTGGCTAGGTGTCAACAGTATACTGTACTGTACACATATCAGTATCTCGGTACTGACCGTACAATGGTATTGTTGATACCCATATTAAATCTCAATTGAGGGACTGGAGGCTTCCAATTTCACGAAGATGTACCAATCCAAATGAGGCAAAGTGAAGATTATCTCATTTTGAGTAGGTATAACGAATGCTTCAGAAATTGGGGTGGTCAGTCCTATGGTAACACTTACAGAAACAGTGAGGAAACAGCCATCAGCGAAAAACGGGTTTCGCCTGAACGAATCCTCGCTCCCAGTTGTCAAAATTGACCTTCCACCCCCAAAACCTCGTATATTGCTCACAAAACCTCATCCCGCCGTCACCAAAATCCGATACGTTGTGTTTTGTCGACTAGTAGGCATACAAAATATGATATCTCGTCTTATAACGCATGATAGATGTCCGAAATATGACCCCTTACCGTTTGACGCCTAGTCGACGTTACAAATATGACACCTCGCGTCTTGACGCCGCACTGTCTCCCAAAATGCAGCTCACTGTTGCGAATCGGCGTAAGTCCTGGCGCGAGCCCCTCAGCTCGCTAGTGAATTCTGTCAGAGTTGAAATCCTAAGGATTCCCAACTGTTTACTCACCGGCCTACCTGTCTACCTGCTGCGTTCCTGCCTATCTGCCTACCTTCCTCTCGAGGCCTACATCAACACCTACCTCTTACTAGCGTCGACACCTACCAACGTCGACACCTACTTCCTACCCGCAGCGATGCCTACCTACTACCTGAAGCGATGCCTGGATACGTATTTACCTACCTGTATTTTGTCGCCTGTACTGACACCGCTACAGACTCCTAAATAGCCCTAGATACACACGCAAATTGATACCATATTCCATGTAATTCGCAGCAAATCAAGGCCTGAATTGAGACCCAAAATGATGACTAATTGCACCAATTCGAAACCTAAATCAGCATCAAATCTACACTCAAATAGACGACTAACGGTGCACAAAATCAACGTCAATTAAGCTTCTAATGGTTAGGTAGGTATGTAAGCAGGCAGGTAAGGGGTAGTCAGGCAGCAGGCAGCCAGCCAGTTAGCGCACGGAGGTAGGTATGCAGGCAGTCAAGCGTGAAGGTCGGCACGCAGGCAAGGAAGTGCGGAGGTAGGTAGTGTGCTAGAAAATATGTACATAGAGAATTATATATATATATATACGAATATATGTTACTGGCGCGCGGAAACAATATCTAGTTGATTTACCGTTTGCCGAGTGATATCATTCTACCAACAAAAACTGATAGCGAAACCCGTTAATCGGGCCAAGGATTCTAGATTGAAGACAGCAGGAGGTGACTTTGCATCAAAACGTGTCGCGAGGACGTCCTTTGGCAAAGAGTCGCACTGGCTACGTTTCGGTGCGCTCCAGCGTCCGTCTACAGGCAAGTAAAAGTCTTGGTGTATCTGGAGAATCTGGGGCATCTCAGGCCCACAGGTGCCGCAAAACGAGATGTCATTTTTGTCTGATTGCCATATGCTTTAAATCATTTTGAAATAAGTTTTGCAATACTGTATTTGAAATAATATATATTATTTTAAATGCGTATTTTCAAAGTATGTCAGTAATACACTTTTGTTTAAATTAGGTAATATTTTGTTACATTAAATATTTAGAAATTCGTAAAAACAAAATGCATGAAAATTGATAATTCCAATTGTTTATGAATACTTCTGTATCAATTATACATATATAGAGTTTTGTTTAAAGTATTCTAATATTAACATGAATTCGATTATTTTGTTAATCTTGCAGTTCATGCATGCGATTGGTAATGGTTGCCCTATAATGATACTGTTAATATAACGTATATATAATCTACATTCTCATCCAAATCCTTACTTACCTCTCAATCCTCTCAAAGAAATTCCAAACACCAAATACATTTTCTGAGATTTCAGTTCTGCATATTTCACAAAATGATTTCGAACAAAAAATCAGTTAACAGTTTCCAACAACGCCAAAAGCAAGCCAGAATTTACAAACAGATGTTACCATTATGTTTGCATGATTCTGATGATTCTGTACCAAAAAGCCCAAAAAAACATGAGTTGAAAATAGAAGTTCCAACAGGAAAAAAAGCAAGGAGAAAAATAACCAATTCCAACTCAACTTTGATTGGTAATTTAGTCTCCAATACAATTCGAATTCAGCTTACTGATAATAAACAGGTAACAACAAAGTATCCAATCCAGTATTAGCAACAAGTTCAACAACAGTATTGCAGAATTCCGAAGATTTGAGATATGATATCACAAATCCCAAATACGATATTACAGATACCAATACTGCAATAGTATCTCATGCAAAATCAATCCCTTTCTCTGCAAACCTTTTGTTAGATATTGAAAGAGGTAATTATATATAACAACTTCGAAATAATTCTATTGTATGATTTACTCATTCATTTCAGATCTCTATGATATTTCAGAATCAACTCGAATAATACATATCCCGGATTCAGCTCAATCAGATTCCTCCATTTTCAGTTCGACTGATTGTAATACTATTTTCGATGAGGATGAGGAGGGGTATGAAGAGCAGGATAAGGCAGAAGGTACCGATATAAAGTCGAAATAATTCTATTGTATGATTTACTGATTATTCATTTCAGATTCCAATTATATTTCATTATCAACTCCTACAATACATATCCCGGTTTCAATTCAATCAGATTCCTCCTACATTTTCAGTGGAACTGATGATGAGGAGGAGGAGGAGGAGTATGAGGAAGAATTTGGGCTGGGAAAAGCGAATGAAATCTCAGATTTGGAAAAACAACAGAGGGAAAGTACAGTAGAGAGGGTGGTGGATTTTTTGGTACAACAACTGCACAGTTTCCAAGGATGTGGGAAAGAGAAACATTCGCAACAAAATATCGAGAGTGCTAAGCAGTCAAAAGCCAAAATTCTCCCACCATTGGGAATCACACCCCAATCCTTTGGAGTTGAAATCCCATATGTTTTGAACAAGGCGTCATTTTATAACAGTGCGGAAAACAATCTTACACCAAATGATTTCAGAACAGTTTTTTGTGGTATTTCAAAACCAACAGGCTCTCCTCCACCCAAAATCTCATTTGCATTGGAACCCATAACAATTCAAAATCGAGAATTGCAAATCCATACTATGTTTGACATTGATAGTGTATTGGCATTACCGAAATCTTTGGCTGTTGCAAAAAGAGGATTGAGAGTTTTTTTCTTTCCTCCCAGACATCTCAACATTCAACAAAACCTTCACATACACCTTTCTGTTACCAACCCAAAAACGAAACGAAATAATACACTTCCAATTCACAAAATCCCACATCTCATTTTGGGCAGAATATTTCAATTTACTGAATTGAATATTTTTATTTTCTTCCCCAATCTTTACCACCCAAACAAGGACAACAATTTCCTAACAGACAAAGAATTGGAAAGATTTTATGATTCTGTATTTTTCCCTGCAGTTTATGAATGTTGTCCTCCAGATATACTTCAACATCTACCCTCCTCAATGGAAAAGGCAAAACTCAATGCACATGCGGCTGGTACAGAAAACAGATCAAGAAGAACAAAAACCTCAGGCGCGACACAGTTGATTACCTACCTTATTGCCCCACAGTACTTGGATGAAATTTGGATCAAAATGAAATCAAAATGTAATAATCCGGGATTACATGATTTCAAAAATATGGTTATCATGCTTGATGGGAAGGATTTGAAATTGATAACCAAGAATGAGAATCCAAATGATTGTTTTAATTCATTTTTGGATCTCTGGAGTCACAGTTGTGATAACCAATACTTAGATCCCAAGTATACTTGGTTGGATTATGGGAAGGAATATGTGGAAAAGTGTTCTCCTTTCTCAACATTCACCAACCATATTGAGGGACCAACTATTTCAGCAACCCCAATCACCTATCTCTGGCGTAAATGTTGCCTTAGAACCTATAAAACTTTGATTTCAAAAGTGGATTTTATCAAAACCAATCAGTTTGAGTTTTACCAATGGGCATTAAGCAATGATACAGCTAGCATGTCCTTTACACCAACTCAAAAAAGTGTATTTCGAAAATCGGGATTAGTGTATTCGCAATTTTACACTATTACACATGAGATATTCAATGCAGCAAAGACATATCCATTCCAAAATGACGCATTGGAAGGGTTGGCAGTTGATCCTCATTTGAAATCCTCTTGGTTCGCAGCTGGTGGTGGTTCAAAGTGGGAAATCAATTCAGTACAGAAGGCTTATCAAACTTCTAAAATGAGATGTCATGAAGCATTGAAATCAGATGGCCTGAAGTCCTATGGAATACGAGAGGAACATCGCATCACTATGTCCTTATTGTTCAAGATCAGTCAACACCTTTCGGATCAAACACCAAAATTAATTCAGAATTCCAATCCCAATTTCGACAGGCCATTCTGGGCTCATCCCACTACTGAAATATTTGAGTATCTGAAATCAAATATCAACAAATTCGCCTTTGGATTTGAGTATACAATGGGCCTAACACCTGCAAGAACAACAGTTTCATGGGAACACACTCGTTTAATGGTGATGTTTTTGAGAATATTGAAATTCTCTTATGGAGGTGGTGATATCAGTAGAGAGGCAGGATTATGGCGTGACAAGTGCATTGGGGGCATATATGGTGATAAGGGGATGGAGGGAATGGCATTTCAAAAATCCTTACAAGAGTTTGGATATCCTTGGCTCCCATCTGAGAAAATTGATTGGAGGAAATGGAATTTTTCGGTTTTGTATTCTCAGAAAATACTATTCAACAACAACAGCCTTCACCAATCATACAAGAAGAGATGGGGTCAGGTTAAATCCATCACTGATATCCACAATCAATTCGCTGCAATACTGAATACAATCAAGAAACATTCAACAAACAAATATTACGTTTATCAGGCTTTGTTACTGTTGTCTACCAATTGTATTATCAATTTCAGACAAGAGGTGTGGTCAAACACATTGGAGGATTTTGAATGTGACGATATGGGGGATTGTTTATTGGGAAAGGTTGGGATGAGTGTGGAAGGGTTGAGGAAAAGAGTTGTGGAAGGGGTGGAATACCATTATACAGAGTCATCCAACAAATTTCGGTTTTCACCATTACAGAGGGCAGAATACCTATGGTGCTTCAATGATGGTATTGAAAGAAACAGTTGGGAGAACAAGCCTTTCAGGTTACTTTTCAAACAAATTCACACCTTTTTGGATCGAAATTTTGGGATTTCCAAAGCGAAATCATGGGCAACAAGACACTGTTACCAATTCCTAGAATATAATTGGGTTTTGCCACATCCAGTTAAAACCAGATTCTATCAAAGAATTTACACCTCAAACCATAGTGGTAGTCAGGAAAGAAAAAGAATATGGTATTCAGTCAGACAAATACCAGGAACTGAGTGGAAGACTTTTGAGAAAGCTTTAGAGGGGTCAGGGAGGAAAGGAGATTATCAAACTGGGGAACCAAAACAACTACCAATGCAGAATTTTCCAATCCCAGTTTTTATCGATTTTGGTACCAAGGATCCACTACAAATTACGGAATTGAAATCTGCAATTCAGGATTACACTATTTTGTGAGTTTTGGAATATTTCAGAAATTTAGATATGTAGGATTACCTCTAATCATTTTAATTTGTATGAGACTAATACAATTATAGATAAAATGTTTGGTATGAATAAAATATTTGTGGTTTTCATTAGGTTAACCAAATTTATAAAAACAAAAATGCTGTATTTCATTATTAAAAAAACAATTTGGTATTAGTGTATTATGAATGAAATAC